CTCCACTAATACTACACTCAACAAAACGGCCACAAGAGTCTGACACTGCTGCAACCCACGCTCTCTACTACGGCTTGGAAAAAAATCCCAAATAATCTATTCCCTCTCTTATATATATACTATACAGTGTATTTAGGAGTCGTTAATGGAAAATGAATTGAAATCAAATCTTTTCTCAGGCTCTCCATTTGCTTTCTCTGCTTTTAATTTCCTGTAACAGCTCTTGACTTCTTTGTTTCTAATATGGCATCAAAGCATTAGGCTCCATAGCCCGACATTCTTTACTCAGCTTTTTGATGGCAAAGAAAGATATCTCGGGTGCTCAATCCAACTCATCCCTTTCCACCACCATGGCAAAGTTCACCATACCCTCACCCTTAAAGTTTCTTATGTCCAATATCAAGCTCATCGTCAACATCCAGCTCAACAATGAGAAGAACTATTCGGTTTGGAGGCTACAAATCTTTAAACTCTTCATCGCCAACGGCTTCGAAGGTTACCTAACTAGCACACAAGTGCGACCACCCGAACCAACCCAATCCTTCACCGCCTATCATCTTTGGCACCTCATTGACCAGAATCTGTTCTATGTCCTTTTCTCTACCATTTCACCAACTATTATCTCATACATAATCACTTTAACCACATCCCATGAGATCTGGGCTACTCTAGAGAATCGACTGCAAACTACCAACCTTCTAGGGTCATCCAGCTCAAAAATGAACTGCACAATATACAAATGGAATGCAAAAATATTTAGCCAAATCAAATCCCTCATTGATAACATTACTACCGCTATATCCAAGCTTGATGTTGAAGACATCACCCTTTATATTTTGAATGGCCTCCCATCTACATGCAGTGCCTTCAAAATAGCCATTCGCACCTCCCTCACCCCAATCAGCCCAAACATTCTTTATTATCTGCTTTGCAAAAAGGAGATCAATATTCAAAACGAACTACTCAAGGATGCCTCTGCCCCCAAGGATAATGTTGCATTATATTCATCCAACACCAAATCCAATAGAGGCCGCAACTCTCCGTCTCAGTTCCCTTATCCCACTCGAGGTCGCGGCTCTTCCACCAAACCTTCATTCCCTGCTGGTCGTGGATCCTCTCTATTTCCTATAGTGAAACCAACTTGTCAAATTTGCAACAAAACTAGTCATACCGCAACCACCTGTTGGCACAGATGCAACCTCAATTACACTCTTGGAACACCTCAGGCTACGCTCACTCCTCAGCAACTTAGTTCCCCAACCGAATGGATGCTCGATTCTGACGCCTCAACTCACCTCACAACGGATGCTACTAACCCCCAGCAACCTCATCACTATCATGGCGCGGACTCTATCTCAATAGAAAACAACAGCACCCTCCCCATCCAATAAAGTGGCCATGGTATCCTTCCTCTTCCCGATTCCAGCCGTAAGCTATTTTCTTCACAATATCCTTTACGTTCCATCCTTAACACATAATCTTCTCTCTATACATAAACTCACATCTGACAACAACTGTTCCATTTCATTTGACTCTTCGGTTTCATCATCAAGGACCTCTAGGACAATCAAACTCTTCTACGTGGTCGAAGTTGTGACACTCTCTATCCAAGCTCCACCAGTCAACCCTCCTCCTCACTTGATCTCCACTCAAGCCTATCAGCTACTTTGCAATGGCACACTCATCTTGGTCATCCTCATCAACTTATTCTGCATACTACAGCTAAATTAGATCCATCCCTATGTATCTCTTCTCTTCCAATCTTATGGAAATCATGTAACATGGCTAAAAGCCATAAATTACCATTTCCTTCAAGTTCAAATCATGTTAAGACAGCATTAAATCTCATACACTCTAAGGTTTAGGGACCGACACCGGTCTCGTCTCTTAATGGCAATAGATACTATGTCATCTTTATTGACGACTACTCAAGATTTTGCTAGCTCTTCTTAATGAATACCAAAACTGAAACTCTCTCAAAATTTCAGCAATTTTTATATATGGCAGAAACTCAATTCAACTCCAAAATCAAAATTCTCCCCTCTGATGGGGGTGGGGAATAAGAAATTTATCTCCGACTATGGAATACTTCACCAACTAAGTTTACCCTACACACCTGAACAAAATTACCTTGAGGAAAGGAATAACAGACACCTGCTTGACACAACTCGTACCCTCTTACATGTTGCGCATCCCCCACTCCACTTCTAGGCCGATGCACTGCTCACATCAAACTACCTCATCAATAGACTACCAACAAAAGCATGCAATCTTCATATTCCTTTCCAACTTCTACACAGCCATCCACCCTCCTATACACATCTAAGAACATTTGGGTGTCTATGTTTCCTATGGCTCAAACATCAGACCCCAACAAACTTACTCCCAGATCCAAGGAGTGTATATTCCTTAAATATTTCACCTCACACAAAGGTTACCGTTGCTTCAATCCCCAAACAAACAAAACTCACATCTCAAGACATGTGGTTTTTCATGAACAAACCTTCCCTACTCAACTCAACACTACCACATCCACCACATATATAATCAACCCCAACCTATCGCCACTTACTCTCATTCCCATATCCACCATCCAGAACACTCCATCCACCAAGCCAAACCCACCATCCACCACAACAACTCCTCTCCACACCACCCAGTCTAGCCAACCTGATGCATCATTCCCCCCTCACTCAGCTCCACTTCTCATCAATACTTATCCATCCCATTCATCAGCAACACCATCCACTTCTTCCACTAATCAGCCAACCCATATACCCACTCACCTAATGCAAACTAGATTCAAGACCAGTCACCTCAAACCCAAACCCATATTCGGTCTTCTAGCCATTCCTCAAGATCAATGAACACCCACATGCTTCACTCAAGCCAACAAACACCCATCATGGCACTCGGCCATGCCCGCTGAATTCCATGCTCTTCAGAAATAGGTTACCAGGTCACTAGCTCCACCTCCACCTAACAAATCCATTCTTGGTTGTTGTTGGAAATAGAACGGTGCAAAGCCCGTTTGGTTGATAAAGGGTTCAACCAAGAGTATGGTATTGACTATAGAGAAACCTTCAGCCCAGTTGCAAAACATCCCATTATTCGGATTTTGCTCACCATAGCTCTTCACAAAAGCTGGTCAATTCTTAAGCTGAACGTCTCAAATGCCTTCCTTCACGGCGATCTCGAAGAGGATATCTACATGCGGCAACCACCAAGATTCGTAAACACACAGCTTCCAAACCATGTCTGCAAACTCCACAAAGTAATCTATGGATTCAAACAAACTCCAATGCAATTGTATAGCAAACTCATATATTTTCTTCCCAGCATCGGCTTCATCTTTAGTAAGTCTGATCCATCATTGCTTATATAATCTCATGCCACCACTCAAATGTATATTCTCATATATGCTGACGATATATTCATCACGGGCAAAAATCATAAGTCCATTCAGCAGCTTTTATCAAACTTACAACATTCTCTATTAAAGAGCTAGGCCCGGTCTCCCTATTCCTCAGCATTCAAATCTCCCACACACAACAAAGCTATTTTCTAAGCCAATCCCATTATGCCTGAGACATACTCACAGCCAATGGCTTCTCCACTTGCAAACCGGTGCCTACTCCTCTGCCCCTCAAACTGACCAAAACTTCAATGGCTAATCTCACATTCAGCAATCCAACCCAATATCACAAGCTAGCAAGATCTTTACAATACTTGACTATCACTCGATCGGATATTGCCTTCGCAACAAATCAGATATGTCAACACATGCACAACCCGACCAACAACAACTACCAAACTCTCAAGAGGCTTCTCCGCTACATTCAGGGAACACTTCACTATGGTCTCCCAATAGTTCATAGTGACTTGAATCTTCAAACATATGTTGATGCCGACTGGGCAGCTGATCCCTCCGATTGAAAATCAATAATAGGTTTTTATTCCTTCCTAGGAACAAACTTCATCTCATGGAATGACAAGAAGCAAGCTATCGTCATCAAATCCTCAACGGAGGCCGAATGTCGTGCCCTTGCTTCAGCTACCTCATATATAATTTAGCTTAGAGGACTGCTAGCTGAATTTCAAGCACCTCAAACCAACCCCACCAAACTCTCTTGTAACAACACCACCATGGCATTGGCAAATAATCCAGTATTCCATGCCATGACCAAATATATAGAAATTGATTATCATTTTATAAGTCACCACATCAAGTCTCCTAAGATAGCAGTTATGCACATCAGCTCCATCGATCAAACTACCGACATCCTTACCAAATTGTTGACAGCAGCTAGATTTCAAATTTTGAGAGATAAACTAACGATCCTTTCACAGGATCATTATTTTGAGGGGCCTGTTAGCACACTCCACTAATACTACACTCAGCAAAACGGCCACAGCAGTCTGACACTATTGCAGGCCACGCTCTCTGCTACGGCTTGGACAGAAAATCCCAACTGATTTATTCCCTCTCTTCTATATATACCATACAGTGTAATCATGAGCGGTTAATGAAAAATGAATTGAAATCAATTCTTCTCTCAGGCTCTCCATTTACTTTCTCTGCTTTTAATTTCCTGTAACAGCTCCTCTTCTTCTCTGTTTTCTCATACCCGTTAACTTAACCTAACGGTGCCCGAACAGAATCATAACCTGTCTTCGTCCCCATCGGGTTCATCCCTTATCAAAGCCCTTGTCGCCGTACATCTCATTCCAAATATCTAAACTCACGGTTAGGAACAGCAGAAAAAGTGCAAAACAGTTAAAAAAAGAAAAAAGGGAGCACGATCAAAGAAAGAGACAATAGAACAGAAAGTCCAGATGAATTGGGCCTTTATTTCCTATTTTACTATGCGCTTATGGGGGAAAAATTTTTGATAAATTAGGCTTCATGGATTTGGCCCGTTTTTTCCTATGTGTATATGGTCAGAAAGATAATAAAATTTGGATTCATGGATTGAGAGAGAGAGAGAGAGAGAGCAAACTCAAGGATCGAAGGGGAAAGTAGGCGGCGGCTGTGAAGACGACGAAACAGATCGTCAGCGAGCTGAAAGGGAAGGCGCTCGAGAGTCCTCCTCTGCCTCCGCCATATATCGACGCTCTCACTGCATGCCGTCGCCGCTTCTATGCAGAGATCCACCAGCCCTTTGCCCTTCTCCATTTCGCCTCTTTTTTTTCCTTCTTCTTGCACTCGGAAGAGAGACTCAAAATGGACAGTGAACATATACACTTCGAAAAGATTGGAGTAGCTCGAGTGGCTACATAAGATTAGAAAGACTCGTCTTAGATACCATGGGACTGAAACCTTGGTGCTGTTGCAAGTAGTATTTAGGAACTGTTTGGTATCATTCAGAATTTTATTTAAGTAGGATTTAGTAAATCCTCTAAATCAAAATTTATGAAATTTTGATGGGTTAAAACTTGAAAACTGGTTGGTAACATTCATGATAAATCATATTAAATCATGTGTGAATGTTTTGCTATAGAGCGTTAAATTCTGAAATGAGCAGACTCTTCTTCCCTCTGGCGTCAATAGAGCGTTAAATCTGTCAGATCAAATGATTTCAGAAATCTGAGATTTCCCCCGAAAAGGGGTAATTTTTGTCTACTGCTTCTTTCATTTACTGTGAGATTATGTTTTGCATTTTAGGTCGTTTGGCTGGATTTCGCTCAAATCCACCTCAAATCCGTTCTAAATCCTGCTAGTATGTAACTCATCTAAAAGGGTCTAAAACGACTTACATTTTGAAAACCATTTCATATAATTGGTGCTAAATTTAAGTAAATTATCTGGTTATTTATTTTAGAATTTAAATTTTATCTTAATAGATTTTTTGTCATTTTGAATTAGATCAAATAAATCTTAAAAATTTTAAGTAAATATCTCAATTAATCACATATGAAAATAGGTGCCGGAAACGGCGGTGGTTGGGGGTCGGCGATGGTAGGTGGTTGTAATCAGTTACGACAATGGAGGGTGATGGCAGTAGGCGGCCGGTGGCGATGACCAACAAATCAGTTTGCTTGCGATGAAAAAGAAATTTAATCAAAATTGGTTTGAGTTTATTTTTTATCCAAAATGAAGTATAATATTTATTTTTGGAAAAGTAGAATAATTTATCATACAAAAAGAATACTTTACACTATATTTTTTTTCGTCCAGCCAAGCATCAATATCTTCAAAACCTCTACACAACAACAACAACATCAAGTCTTTATCCCACTACGTGAGGTCGGCTATATGAATATTTGCTCTCCATTGTGCCCAGTTAAGAGTCAAATTCTCATTTAGATCAAATAAAGAAAGGTCATTTCTAATATTTTCTAACCAAGTCTTTTTAGGTCTACATCTACCTTTCTTAACATAGGTTAAATCTAATACATCTACTCTCCTCTGAGTTATCGGAATGCCGTCATTTTAGGTGACCAAACCATTTAAGGCAACTCTCTCTAATCATTATCTACCATTGGTGCTACTCCAACCTTTTAACATATATGTTCATTTTGTATCTCGTCTCTAAGAGTAAAGTCACTCATCCACCTATGCATCCGTGTCTCTACAATACTTAACTTAATATTATGCTTCTCTTTTAATGGCCAAAATTTTTCACCATAAAGCATTGTAGGTCTAACCACCATCTTATAGAATTTTTCCTTAAGTTTGATTGGTACTTTTTTATCATACCTTCAACTCCCTCTTTAGTCTTATCAATAAGAAGAATATATCGTCACCAAAAAGCATACACCAGGGAACATCCTCTTACAAATCTCTCGTAAGAACAACCATGACTAAAGCAAAAAAGACATGGGCTTAAGGCTAATCATTGATGTAATCCAACTAAAATTGGAAAATACTTGGTCAAACCACCTTGTGTTTGAACACAAGTAACAACTCCAGCATACATATCCCTATTGACTTGAATATATGAATTATTAATCCCTTTCTTTTTTAGAACTCTCCATAACACTACTCCTGGAACTTTATCATATGCTTTCTTTAAATTAATAAATATCATATGAAGATCTTCCTTTTTTTTCTATAGTTCTCCATCAAACCTTCCAATAAATGTATAGCTTCCATGGTATACCTACCTGGCATGAATCCAATTTGATTTTGAGAAATAATAATATTACGTTATAATCTATGCTCCATAACTTGTAGAGAAAGTTGTTATTTGCATGTTTTATATTCTTACAACTTGTATTATTTTGATGATTTCAAATATTATTGTTTTATATATCTACTAACACTTTTTGGAAGATTTATTTTTGCTCTAGTGTGTACTAACATTTCAAGAAAATCAACTCCAAGCAATGAAGACTTCAAATCAAATTTAGCAAATATTCATTTGTAAATTATAAGTTTTGAAATGAGAGGGAGTGATTGTAATTGAGTGAAAAATCACAACACACACTCTTGGGGGAACAATTTTTGTGAACTGATCGTACGGGACGAATCTAGTTCGTACGGGACGATCATGTCAATTAACCCCTAGGAAGAGCAATGGATCGAACAGGCGGGGAGAAAATTCTTTCTAAGTCCTAATCGTCTAGGACGAATTTTATATTCGTCCCGGGACGAACATCTCTGGATTCTCACCTTGCACTGTTCGTCCAGACGAAAAGCATGGTTCGTACCTAGACGAAACTCTCTGTTTGTGATCGTACAGGATGAAATGAACCTTTGTCCCTGGACGAAACTCTCTGTTTGAGATCGTACAGGACGAAATGAACCTTCGTCCATGGACAAAACTCTCTGTATAAAATCGTACCAGGACGAAACACGTTCGTCCCTAGACGAACTGAACCGACTTAGCCCAGTTGGTTACGTCCTGCAGAATTTTGGGAACCGACCTATGAAATAACCATTTTGTACCGGACGAACCTAGTTCGTACGGGATGATGAGCGTGTACGAACATAGTTCGTACCAATATACATTAGGATCGTTTCCGACACTTTAAGTAAAATCGTCCGGGACGATCCACGATCGTACAGGACGATCCACGATCGTACAGGACGATCCACTACGTACAGAATTGAAAACTTGCAGTTTTTGGGCAGTTTTTCTTGTCTTTTGTATATATAGTTCAAATTAGACTGTCACCCAATCTTTTTGCTCATTGATCTTCATGCCTATTGAAAAAAGAGTCAAGGAGAGTGTGAGAGAGAGCATTCAAAGAAGGATTTCTACCACTGGAGCGTGAAGGCTTCGCTCGGTGTTCAAAGGTAAGATTTCCTATTTATGATTTGAGATTACTTCTTTTTTTTTATTCCTTCTAGATTTCTTGTGAGAAGATCTGTCAAGGAGATAGGGTTATCTGCCCACACTAGGAGAGTGTGAAAGGACGAAGGGTTCTCTGCCCACACAAGGAGAGTGTGAAAGGACAAAGAGTTCTTTGCCCACACTAGGAGAGTGTAAAAGGCAAAGGGTTCTCTGCCCACACAAGGAGAGTGTAAAAGGATGAAGGTTCTCTGCCAACACTGGGGATAATGTAAAAGGATGACAATTCTCTGCCAACACTGGGGATAGTGTAAAAGGACGACGGTTCTCTGCCGCACTGGGTAGTGGTGAAAAGAGTGTTTATAAATGCTTCTCCGCCTTGCTGTGGGTGCAAAAGGAGAGACACTATTGGTATTAGTGCAATACTCAGAGGGTGCCTCTAGGGAGTGGATGTAGGTCTGGTTTAGACCGAACCACTATAAATCTTGTGTCGTTTATTTCACAGCTTTTTGTTTTCTGCATTTTTCTGTTTAAAAAGTTGTGGTTGAAAAAACTTTTATAAAAATTCATTAAAGTTTATTTTCGGTTCAACTCATTTAAAAGAGGGATAATTTTTTAAAAACTATCAATTCACCCCCCCCCCCCCTGGTAGCCTTGGGACATTAACTTAGGGCTTTTTTCATCCAACCAAATATTAATATTTTCAAAACCCTAGCAAAAGAAATACTTTGCATTAATTTTACTTCAAAACAAATAGGCCCATAGATAAATTAAATCAAAGATATAAATAATATTAATTTATTTAAGTTAATAAATATTTATATCACGCATCAATCCAAGAACCACTCCCTCGATTATTGATGACATAATTATATTAGTGAAGGCCCCTCAATTTTATTCTTGGTGGATCAAATTCATACGATGGAGCAATATTCAGCTTAAACCCTTCATCTCTAAGAAGAGGATGGTAAAGAGAGAATACCATCACCATATGGATTTCACTTATCTCAAAATTAATAACCAGTTAGGGATGATCATTTTGATAGCACCTATGCAAGTTCTACGCACCATCACACTAAAGTCCCTCCTCTACCAAAACCTTATCATAATCTTCTCAACTAAGTTAATTTGACACGCCCTTCTTATAATAATTGATAAGTATATAATCCCCTAATATTTTTAGCAGAATTGACCCAACCTCTTCTTATTGTCACCTTTCATTGTATTATAAGTGATGAATGTCAACATCTTGCTTTTCTCCATAAATTTTTAGAACTCTTCACCTTTTATTAATGTAATTATTTAATATCCCTTTATGGTTGGGTTCAAGTTACCTAATACTTATCTTTATTATAATCCTTATGTGCATTAAAAAAACACTATAGGGATATCATGCATGTTCAATATGTATCTTATATATATATATATATATATCTCTAAATCTTCCACATTACTCTTGAGGATCAAACACACACTTACTCATTCTCTTTTAGGTAGAATTATGAAAATCTTTATCGATCACACAAGAATTTTCATTGGGAAGTTTCTTGCAAATCAGAAAATTTCCTTCAATCTTATTAGGATTCACCAAAATGAGAGAAATTTAAGGAGTATTTTTAAATATTATCCTCATATACTTGTCAAATTTGTAGATCCTCAGCTACTGTAAGATATTTTTTCTTTAAAAGGTATTGGTGGTAATCTTTAAAAGATGCATGCATTAGTGTTTGCATACAATAATTATTAAACAACTTGAGGATCCCAAAACAAATCATAAACAATATTTTTCTTTAGAGAATATTTGTGAATATTATGGAGTCTTTATTATTGTAATTAATGACTCATGACAATTTCTCTAGAGAAATATATAAAATCCTCTTAGAAAATCGAGTATTGAATGAAACATCCTTTTTTAAGAATACAATCACATTGTAATACATGTTACAATTAGAGCAGATATTTCAGAATGTACATTACACATATAATTAAGAGTAAGAAAAGATTTGTCTCACAAATACTATAAATGCACATAATTGGACTTATGTT